TTCAGCCTCCCCAGCGCTGGAATTATAGGTGTATGCCACTACCCCTGGATTCTGTGACTGGCTCAGCCCTCCCTATGAGCAGGGCTGGCATGGTCTGTGGTACCAGGGATCGAAGCACTATCTCTGTGCTTTCCTAAGCTTGCCTGAGCAGGCACTTTAGTCCACTGAGCTATCTCGCCAGGCTCCTGTTTTTCATCTTTTTGAGACCAGGTCTTGCTGTGCAGTTCAGGCTGGCCTTGAGCTCACTTTGTAGTCCAGGCTGGCCTAGAACTTAATATGATCCTCCTGCCTCAGCCTCCTGGATGATGGGATTATAGGCATGTGACATCATGCCTGGTGATCTACTTTTAGATGTTTAAGGGTTTTTTTTTTTTTTTTTTTTTCTGTATTTAGGGCAGGGTCTACAGGGTGTACAGGGTCTCACTATGTAGATCTTGGATTGTAGTTCAGACTCATAGTGGTTCTCCTGTTTACAGCCTCCTGAGTGCTGGGATTACAGGTACGTGCTACCATACCCAGTCTCAGTCGCCATCTCAGTGTGCCCTGGAGGTGGGGCTGGCATGGCATTTGAGAAGGATCTTTTTTTTTTTTTTTTTTTTTTCTGGCTCAGGCTGCCTTAAGTGCGGTCTTGTGCAGCATGTGGAGCTGGGAATTGAACCACAGTCCCGTGCCTGACTGAGTTTGCCCAAGCAAGCGTTTTAAACAGCTGAGCTAATCAGCAAGCCCCCAGTCTTTAAGATTTTGACTTTTCCAGACATTTCATAAAATTGAATTTATCCAATATGTGGCCTTTTGTTTGTGGCTTCCTTCACTTGGCCTAATGTTTCCATCTATGATGTGGCATGTATCCATTTCATTTCATTCTATTTGTTTATTTTTTGTGTTGCTGGGGAACAAAGCCAGGGCCTTATGCATGCAAGGCAAGAACTCTACCACTGAACCACATCCCCAGCTCCTCATTTCTTTCAGGGCAGAAAATAATCTCATTGTATGGGTACACCAAACTTCTATCCCCTCATCTTCTATCCCCGCATATTTGAGTTATGAATAGCCCTTTGAATGTTCACAAACAAGTTTTTGTTGAAACGCTTACTTTTGATTCTTTTAAGTTTATATTTCGGAGTGGAATTACTGAATTCATATGGTAATTACATGCTTAACTGATCACTAAATCGTTTTCCACAATGGCCCAGCCATTTTACATTTTCACTAGCAA